ATCGGGGTACCTGCTCCTGGCTTCTTACCATTCGGATTCATAGGAAGTTGCCCCACCTCCCCTGGGGGTGCAAACCGTGCTGCCCTGAGTGTTTGCGTCTACATCGGGCCTGCACACAGCTCCCCAGCACCGTGTCCTCTCTGGGCATGGGCTTTTCCCTGATGGCCATGCCCTCCAGGTTGGCCGATCCCGGGCTCCCGAGGAGCATTCGAGAAGTGAGAGTTAGGAAGCCAGGACAAAGGAGGACAATTGCTTCTTGCACATAAAGTTAGGTGTGAAAAGCTAGTGGGGCCACCATTTTTCCTTCCCTTACATTTCTTTCCTTTTCCTTTTCTCCTCTTTCCTTTCCTATATCCTGCCTTCTCTGTGGCACGTGTTTATGATATCCCCATCATGGGCCTTCCAGCCCTGAACTTGGGAACAGAACCCAAGCGGACCCATCACGAGGGGTGTGGTGTAGAAGCTGGAACATATCTCCCAAGTCAGACCACCAGGTTTGAAGCCCGGTTTCTTCACTGGCCTTCTATGAGTTTGGACAAATCTCCTCACTCCCCTGAGCTTGGATTCCTTGAGTGTGTGCTGAGGATAAGAGCTTGACTGGCCCCATGGGATTGTTGCTAGGACTCAAGGCAACACAGCAGGTGAACCCTCTGCCCTTGCTTTCTTAATGGCCTTAGTGAGAGGAACCCCCACTGGCTTTATTTCTAGAGAATGCTACCTCCTGACACCTGCTCTGTGAGTAGATCCCAGAATCTGAGTCACTGCTTGACTTTCCAGGTGACAGGTGCTGGTTACTCTGTTTTGCTCATGACCATTTGCCACCGTCTCTTGAAACGGTCCCCCTCCCTTTTGCTACTCGATGATTAGCATTCTGGAGGGCAGGGATTTTATCTGAAGTCTCTGGCTCCCCAGCATCCACAGAACACATGGGAGTGCTCAATACAAGGTTACTCAAGGTCGGTTGATCGGCAATGTATTAAAAATCCACCTTTTTCTGGGATTTTCACCAACTCCTCCCACCTGTGCTGTGCGGTGGTCTGTCAAGTCTGTGCTTCCCATTACTGATTCTCTTAAATACATCACCGCATGATTTCTGAAGGCTGTTCAAAGCCACATGAGGGGAAGGAGTCATTGCCGGACCCCAGGGAGAGTTGGAATCAGTGTTTCTAGAACTGGAATCCAGTTCTAGAACTGAATCCAGTTTCTAGAGCTGGAAAGAAGTCTTGTCCAGTTTTGTGGTGCCTAGAAAGAGGCCACCCTCACAGCTTTTCTGACAAAGTCTCAGCATTTCTGACTCTTGCAGCTGGGTCAGCATGGAATCACAACCGGTTAGAAGGCATGAAGACTTTAGAAATTATTGTCAACCTTTTGCCCTTTATGTCACCCGAACCATAATGAGATGTGATGAGTGCAGCTGGCTGTTGCCTCAGCCCTCCTGCAGCGCCCCAGGAAGCAGTATTGGTCCCAGTGTGTCACCGTCCTTGTCAGCAGCTTCCAGATGCTGACCACTGTCTGGGGTGGCCGTCAGCTGATGCCAGGTAATCCCCGGCTATCACACTGGAAACCCTCTGCTCACAAGCCTGAGAGCCAGTTCCCGGGAGCCAACTCAGCAGTGCCACAAGGACTAAATCTGGAAGGACAGAACCTGCCAGAACCCTTCATGCCAGTAATGTGTCAAGGAAGAGACTCCTCTGGGACCCAAAGGTCTATGATGGTGCTCCCAGGAGACACAAGTCATATCAAGGATCCTAGGAACAGTCCTCCTCCAGTTAGGGTGGTTTGTGGGTGCTGAAGGAGAGAGTTTAATCCACAGTGGGGTGGGGCCCAAGGTTGTTCCACCATCCAGCGGCCAACCTGGTGCTAAGTTAGGGGTAATGGAGAGTCCAGAGCTCAATCGTGCATAGTTCATGCCTCTAGAAGCTTATAATTTTGTGTGTGTGGTGGTGGCGGGGGGAGACATGCCTTGTTTCTTTACTGTGGGAGGAAAAGAATGACCAGTGTCAGGACAGAGGCACAAAATGTAATGGGGTGACTCTCATGACTCTCGTCACTCCATTCTAGGTAAAAGAAGGCTGGACATAAACCTCTTAGAGCTGAGAAGGGTGCCATTATATTTGCTGCTGGATTCTGGGCAATAGAGTGGGATGGCCCAGGATGCTAAACGTGAGGAGATGGGGGTTTTCTCCTTTCCAGTGTCCCAGCCCCACCCTCCAGGCCAAGTCACCAGGCTGTATTCCTGGCTCTCCCAGGGGAATGTCAGCTCTGCCCAGAGGCTTCCCACAGGACAGTCCTGTGGACCATGGGTCCATTGCCGTGTCAGGATGGAAGTGATAGTGATAGGGGCTCTGGAGTTTCTTCCTCAACCTTTCCTGAGCCTCCAGCATGGCAGGAAAGGCCTTTCTCTTCAAGTAAGGAATGATAGTGTCCTCCGGCATTCTCTGTACAAGGCATTGTGCCAGCAGCTCTAAGGCAAGGGGTTGGGAAACTAGAGCCTGCAGGCAGACTCTGGCTCACTGCCTGTTTTTGTAAATAAAGTTTTATTAGCACACAGCCACGCTCATTGCTAATGTATTGTCTATGGCTGCTTTCATGCTACCGTGGCAGAGTTAAATAGTTGCAACAGAGACCATAGGGCCCCAAAAGTCTAAAATATTTATTGCCTCGTTCTTTACAGAAAAATTTTGCTGATCTCTGTGCTGGCAGGGACCAAAGATGGACGAGATAGTCCCTGACCCATAAGAGACTATTGACCAATTTCAGAGACGGATGCTTCAAGAGCTGCAGTGTCATTCTGGGATGGATGCAATATAATTAGAAGCCACTTAGAAGGGGAGGAGATGGCTTTGTGAGGAGCATTTAAGTTACATCCATCTCAGTTCGGATAAGTCACTTTTCAGGTGCTCAATGGCCACTTGTGGACAGGGGCTGTCGTATCGGACAGTGTTTGTGGACGGAGGTCCCGGATGCTGAACTAAGTGGTGTGAGCTTTATTCTTTAGGCAGTAGAGAGCTGCTGGGGATTTCTGAGCTGTGTTTTGCGTATGCTCTGTAGAAGTTGTCTGGAGAGATGAGAAAGGGGGCATATTATGAGGCGAATGCAGGAGTACGGGTGACGGGTAAGAAGGGTGTGGACTATCTCGCAGCAGCAGCAATGGGTCTCAGGAGAAGACTGGGGAGGCATTTGCAGAAATACAACAGGGTGACCAACAGATTGGAGTGGGGTGGGAGAGGGGGAGGACGACAGGCAGATCACTGGAATGCAACAATCATCCACCAGTCTCCATGTCCCCGGCTACACCATGCCCTGGTGAGCTGGTCAGGGGGCCTCCCCGACAGTCGTGGCAGAGACCCAGAATTCCAAAGTTCCGCTGCTCTCAGACACCCCACATGTAAGTTCTAGAGGGACTCATCTCAGTGCTTCATGTTGGCTTCACCTTCCTTCCTGGCCAGACGGTGGAAATGGCCGTTCTCCCTCAAGCGTACCAACCTCTTTGGACACCGTCTTGACCCGTGATTGGATCTGGCCATTTTTCTCTGCTGGGTGCCCAATTCCCCACAGTGCATTTGGTCAGTAAGCTACTGTGTTATTGTTGTTTTTCCTCCGTCTTTCCTGCTCTCTCCCTCACATGTTGAGTTTACAGTGCTTTCAAACCCCTGATTTCCCCTGCTCCTCACAACAGCCCTGGAAGGAAGGAAGGAAGGAAGGAAGGAAGGAAGGAAGGAAGGAAGGGGTATTACTGTCTTCATTCTACAGATGGAGAGATGCTACCCAGAGGCCTCAAAGGTCTTTCTGGAAGTCACGGCTAGGGACTTCGGGGGGATAGGACAGGAACACTAGATGTGTGTGTGCTAGCATTGGTCAAATCCAGAACCAAAACTGTTCTTCGGGCACATGCCACATGGCAGTCACTGTCCTGGGAGCTTTGATGTAGATTATCTATTTCATTGCACCAGTGCCCACATGTTATCGATGGGAAGACCAAAGCTCAGGTACATGCCTCCTCCTAGGTCGTGCAGCTTGGTAAGCTGCAGACCAGGACTCGAACCCGGAACTCACCCCAAGACCAGTGGTGCTTTTCCCCAAACCCCAGCTTCCCATCAAATACCAAATCTGTCTACCCTTTGGCTCAGAAATTGTCCTGTATCCGCTTGATAGGTTTTAGGGAGACATGATTTGCTCCATGATCTCATCTCTAGGATTGCAATAATGAGCCATATTAGAGCAAGATTCTCCTGTTCATTTCTTTTTTTTTTTTTAATGTTTTTATTTATTTTTGAGACAGAGAGACACAGAGCATGAGCAGGGGAGGGGCAGAGACAGAGGGAGACACAGAATCCGAAGCAGGCTCCAGGCTCTGAGCTGTCAGCACAGGGCCCGACGCGGAGCTCGAGCTCACGGACTGTGAGATCATGACCTGAGCTGAAGTCGGACGCTCAACCGACTGAGCCACCCAGGCGCCCCTCTCCTGTTCATTTCTTTAAGGACCTGTGATGTATTAGGCAGTATGTAGATAAAGGACGATGATGGTGACAGTGAATGACAATGGAAGGGTAATAATAGCAGCAGCAACAGCTTACGCCTATGCGGTGCCTACCATGTTCGTGACACCATCGTGAGCACTTTCTAGGCATTAGCGCATTTTATCTTCATACCAGTCCTGACAGGGGTACTATTATTAGTCCTCTTTTACAGATGAGGAAACTGAGGCACAGAGGTGTCAGGTACCTTACTCAAACTCATACCGCTAGGAATTGTTCAAGCCGGGACAAATAAACCATCTCTATCCTCTAAGCTGTTGGGGGAAGTCACCATGCAAAAGGACCACTGATGTCCAGCCTATTACAAGCCACATTCCATGCCATTTGATGACGCTAGGACAATTTTAAGTATTTTCTCTTGCTGGGGAGAAACTGAGGCACCCGCAGGCCCTGACTTCCAGTACTTTCCCGCCATCAGCCTGGACCCACGCCGTCTTTCCCTTTGCCTTCTGCCGAGGTCAGGTTCTCGACAACCTGGACAGCCACCTGAAGAAATCCGAATACTTCCGCTTCCTCTGGTTCCCGCACAGCGAGAACGTCAGCGTCATCTACCAGGACCACACCAACAAGGTAGCGACAGCATCAGTCCCGTCCTCACGCACAGCCTGTAGTCCCCAGGGTGGCGGACCTTTGTCCTTGTCCCGGGTGGTCAGTGAGGTGTGAGAGGGAAAACGAAGGTGGGCATCACTGAGTGTGAGGACAGAAGCAGGCGAGGCAGCAGGGTGGAAGGAGGAAGGAGAGTTGGCCCAGTAAGGGTCTAATGTGACCACAGGTAGGGATGTGCGGGAGTGAGGTCAGGGGACAGCCTAGATGCGGGAGAGGGGAGCAGAGGTGTGGGGAGGCCAGGATAGGATAAGGTAGAGTACCAGGCAGCTGGGCTATCCCTCGGACCACCTCCACCTTCCCTCCAACGCCCCTGTCTTGCCCACCCCCACCTGGACAGGTGAGGAAAGCAACAGTTTTGTCTCTCCTCCACGTCCTTAGCCAATGAGCTGCTTCTCAGCAGAAAAACACAAAACCATCACCTAGGATGAACACTGATGGGCCACGTCAGGCAAAAGCGATGACACTTACTGTGTGTTACGGGCTGGCATGGGGTTTGTAAATGGTGATCGCTGGACACCTGCCTCCGGGGCTCAGAAGGGGAGGGACGGATGCACATCGTCATCTTGTGCAAAATAAAAACATACCTAAAGACATAAATATGCAGGAAACGAAAGGGGTGGGGCATGCAAATTGGCTGGGTCACCAAGAAGTGAGGCTTTCGATTGTCCTGGCAGGTGGGTCACCCCCTCTACACACACATGCAGCCACTCTTGGACACATCTCCCTGTAGGGGGACACTATGATAATAGGTCAGAAAGCAGCTGAGCTCCGGCCCTGAACTGATTACAGATTCTTCTCCCCAGCCCCCCTCCTCTTCAGCCAACTGGTTTTGGGACTATGCCATTGGATTCTATTTACTGGAGTTCCTGCTCTGGATCAGGTAGGAATGCAAGGTACCTTCTTCCAGCATCTGCCATATGCTGTTGAGGATGCGGTCCACCAAAAGAATAACACCCTGGCCTTTATGCATGTAAATTAGGGTCTAGGGCAGTGATTTTTCAACGCTGCCTACACATTCAAATCACCTGGGGAGCTTTTTATAAAATGCCAGTGCCCACGTCCCACTCTTTGGCCCCCAAGTGATGTAAATCTCATAATGTCCTGTTTTCTACCCCCTTCTCAGCCTGACATCTAGGCTTATGCTCAGACTCCATGTCTGCTGGTAGACACGTAACTCTCAGTGATGGGGAAGGTTTCATGGGTTCTTGAATGGTAACTTTATATCCCGCCAAGACATGGAATGACATGATATAAAAATTTTTTGAAATATTTTATACATACAAAATAATATAGAAAACATATATTTAAAATATAAAGAATAACGTGGGGCGCCTGGGTGGCTCAGTCGGCTGAGTGTCTGACTTGATTTTGGCTCAGGTCATGGTCCCAGGGTCGTGGGATCGAGCCCTGTGTTGGGCTCTGTGCTGAGTGTGGAGCCTGCCTAAGATTCTCTCTCTCTCTCTCTCTCCCTCTCCCCCACTCACTTTCTCTCTCTCTCTTAAAAAAAAAAAAAGAGTAATGTAATAAGCATCCACGTGGTTACCACCACACCAGCTTAAGAAATGAAACAACATGAGTACAATTGGAATGGTCTTTATGTTAAAATTTTTTTAACGTTTATTCATTTTTGAGAGACAGAGAGTACAGAGTATGAGCGGGGAAGGGGCAGAGAGAGAGGGAAACACAGTATCTGAAGCAGGCTCCAGGCTCTGAGCTGGCAGCACAGAGCCCGACATGGGGTTCGAACCCACGAACTGCGAGATCATGACCTGAGCCAAAGTCAGACACTCAACCGACTAAGCCACCCAGGCACCCCAGGAATGGTCTTTATGAAGTCCCAGGGGTAACCAAGAAGTAATCACTACCCTGAACTTTATGTTTATCACTCCCTTGCATTTATTTATATTTTAGTTTTATGAATCTTGAAATCAGAAATTTGGTAATTCAGCTTCGATAGTGATAATTATCCATGTTGATATGGATAGCTGTGATATATAACAATCAGTCATTTTTCACTGCATGCATTTATCACAATGCGTTTATCCATATTCTTTTTTTTTTAATCCATATTCCTAATAATGGGTATTTGGGTTATTTCCAAGATTTTTTTTCTTTTTGCTTTTCTTTTACTTTCTTTTCTTTCTTTCTTTTTCTTTCTTTCTTTCTTTCTTTTTCTTTCTTTCGTTCTTTCTTTCTTTCTTTTGCCATTACAAACCATATTGCTGTGAGGATTCTCAACCACTGCTCCTGATGCCTTTTTTTTTTTTGTCTTGAGTATACTCATGAGTGGAATTCCTGGGTCATCGAGCATGAGTATCTTCAGGCTTATCAGATCAAATTGTTCTCCCAAGTGGCTATACCCAGTGACCTCGCCGCACACTGTAAGATTCTCTGCGCCCCACAAGCTGGTCGAGATCGAAATTTTACATTTTCATGTGACGTGTATTAAATAGTATCTCACTGTGGTTTTTAATTCTTATTTCCATGCTTACTTGTAAGGTTGTGTGGTTTTTTAGTATATTGATCCTTTAGATTTCTCTTCTATGAAGCACCTGTTCATGTATTTTGCCCTTTTTAAAAATTGGGTGGGTATTTTTTTCTTATTGTGCTGTAGGGTTCTATGTATATATTTTGAGCACTCTGTTTCTGGGCTGAAATACCTCCCTGTTTGTTCTGTCTTTCACTTTTATGGCTTTTAAAAAAAATTTTAGTGTTAGATGTATTTAATGTTAGTATAGTGAAATCTAGCTGTTTGTTGTTTTACCTTTGGGACGGTGTCTTCGTAAGAAATCCTTGCCTACTGAAAGGGCATAAGAGCCCATCAAAGGTGGCACTGATGACAGGACCTGGGAAACTAGCTGGAGTTCTGGTCGGTCCTGGACGTGGCTGAGACCTTTGGCACCTGGCGTCGGGTCTCCTCAGGGTAGGGGAGCTACAGGCACATGGATGGGACTCACATTGGGGTGACTAACTGCCTGGAAGGTGTTAGGAGAGAGAAACTCAACACAGGACTTAATGCATCTGGGCAGGCAAGGGACAAGGAGGAAGCCGGCCTGGGGACCACGATCCAGCAGATTATGGGTGGGAGTGAGAGTGGAAAATGCCCCACCAGCCTTTCTCTCTAGCTTCTATCACAGCCTCTCAGCAGCTTTATGTGCGTGTGCCTGTGGAGCCCGATCCCAGTGAGTGGGCAAATAAATTGGGCTCTAAATCACAGCTGCCACTTCCCGGCCCAAGTGGGTGCTCTGTGAGAGCTCCACAGCCTCTGAGTTCAGCCCGTGGGGCTTTGGCTTAGGTGCTTCTGGAAACCGTATCCACCCAGACTCACCCCCTCAGCTCTGGGGTGCACACTCAGCCGTGTGCCGGAGGTGCGGGAATGAATGGCGAATAACAGATTGTACTTGGTAGTTTTAACGGCTTCTTCACAGTAAGACTCACTGTATCCCTGCAAGGTCAGGAACCCTGCCTGTCCTGTCACACTTGATCCCCAGTGCCCCAAGCAATGCCTGGCACCTAGAGGAGGCCCCTAGATATTTGTGTAAGAAATGCCACATTAAAAGCTTGGTGCCTGTCTTTGAGGAGTTTAGTAGTGGTCCACTGTGGGAGTGATGACGGTGGCCATAGCTGACCAGGACAGAAAAGCAGGCTGTCGGTTGGGAACAGGTCCCTGGGGGTGACCCAGGGCCTAGGCCAAGCTCAGCTCCTGTGGTTAGAACAGCCTTACTCCTGCGGGCCAGTGGAAGCCCCACCCCAGCCAGCTGGCCTCTGAGACACCAGAGAGCATCTGCCTTGAGACAGACAGCATCCGTCTCCTACCCCGCCCCTGAAGCAAGTACCCATGTACCCTTTCTGAGTCCCCGGAAACTCGGCAGCTTGGGGCCATGGGAAGAGCATGAGCTTTGGACTCAAGGGGCCCTGGACTCTGATCCATACCTTCACTTCCCTGCTGTGTGACTCTGGGTAAATCGCTCAGCCTCTCTGAGCTGTGGTTTGCAAGTACATAAAGTAGAGCCACTAGCAACAATTGGGTTGTTTACTAGACATCACTTCCCTCCCTTCTCACAAAGGCTCTTGGTGCCCCCACTAAGCGGCAAGATGCAAGGGCCTGGGTCTGCTGTTCTCTGTAACCCCCATGAGGTGCTCTGAGCACCTGGAATGGATTTTTGACGGACAATGAGGCGGCCGGGATGAGACCAGGGACAGGCCTCTGGGGAGCGTGGCTCTAACAAGAGGCTACCCGCCGGGAGGGAGAAGTCCAACTAAGCCTCGTTACCAGGAGTCTTGAGTGACTCCAGGAGAGGCACACGCTACAGCTGGCATGATTAGAGCCAGTTCAGCTCCCAGGACCCCGAGCTGGCAGGAGCTGGGTTCGTGAGTGGGATGACTGGACAGGCCCCTATAACCAGCCTCGGGGCTGATGTCCTCTTCAGGTGCGTCTCTAAAAGAATTGAAAACAGGGTCTCTCTCTCTCTCTCTCCCTGGT